CGGGGAGGAGAGGAACCAGTCAGGGTGCAGTATTGCACCGTTGAAACGTAGAACTTTCCTCTCGTTTTTAATGCTTCCCAACCCCACTATCATGACCCCAATTCTACCTTACAAATCCAGCTAGACCAGAGCACGTAAATGGTTATAGATAAAAGCTAGAAACAGAGGGAATCCAGGACAGATAAACTCCTCAGGGCCAATATTGAGAGTAGCCATACCAGGAGGGGAAGGGGAAGGTGAGGGGTGAAAGGGGGAACTGATCACAACGATCTACATATGACCCCACCCCGGGGATGGACAACAGAAAAGTGGATGAAGGGAAACATCTGTCAGTGTAATACATGAAAAAATAATAAGTTTTAAGTTATCAAGTGTTCATGAGGCACGGAGGATTGGGGAGGGAAGGGAAAAATGAGAAACTAATACAAAGGGCTCGAATAGAATGAAAATGTTTTGAAAATGATGACGGCAACAAATGTACAAATGTACTTGACACAATGGGTGGATGGATGGTGATAAGAGTTGTACGAACCCCCAATAAAATGATATTTGTAAGGTGTCATAGATCTAATGGACTGTCAAAGGTAATGTTTGTCGTCAGTGCGGAGATAATATTTAGTCTTTTTTTTTTTTGAGAGATTCATTTTGTATGCTGTAATGGATTACCTCAGTAAATTTCATGTGTAATCATTTTCTGACATCAATGTAAACCTTTATTTATTTTTTTGAATCTAGGACTCTTCCTTGGGCAATTGAAGGAATAAAGAAAGCCACCGAATGGGTCAGGAACACCGAAGGACAGTATACGTCTATCTGCCAACGACTTGAATTAGGCAAAGACTGGGACTCGGCCACAAAACAGCTACTGGGGATTCAGCCCCTAGATACCACTTCGCCTCTTCACAGGGTCCTCAGTTACAACTGACACTGCATGAAATGAAACTGAATTGTAAACTGTTTTCTTGCTGTGTTCAAGCTACTCAAGTATCAATAGATAACATTTCATGAAATTTACCTGTAATTTTATTCAATGTATTGATCACTAAATAGAGACAAAGAATTGATTCTTTTCATAAACTACCCAGCAAGAATTAAAGGAAAATGACAGTATTACCAAATCTGTGTCAATATTTTAAGAATGAATGTGAAACAACCTTTATTAACGCTGTCAGATTCTGATCTGGGTTCTACTCCAGCCAGCCCAGGTGCTTTATCTGATTCTACTATCTTGCCTAAAAATAGTGATAATAATTATTTATTAATATTTTCTATGTAAGAAACATAGACGGAGGAAGCCACTGTGCACAGCTGAGAAAGGATGATACTGTTAACCCATACATTCACAACCTATACAGCCATGCTCCTTAAGTACCAGAGCTCCATACACTACCAACAAATCTTAAACCACCAATATGCAAAAAGGAAACACAGTCTCCAACCTAATTCAACTAACACCATCACAGCGTCACCTGGAGGGAAAAAGGAGACACAGAATTCCCACACCATCTAAAACTCTAAATGCATACACCTTATCAAGTCCCCTAGTACTCTCACAAGCAGAAGTAGGGGGCTAGGGGCAAGGG